TATTTCTTTTTCAAATATGCACGAATATGTGCATATTAATGAAACATGGTTCTATTTGACTAGGGTTAAAAGAAAATTCTATGTGTACGAGGACGAAGCTGTCGCAGCTCGATTTGTGAAGTCGAAACAGTTTATAACAAAAGTTATGTTCTTGGCGGCCATTACCCGCTCTCGTGTTGACTTAAACGGCGCTATTTTCGATGGCAAAATCGGTGTTTGGCCGTTTGTCGATAAAGTGCCTGCACGGCGCAACTGTAAAAATCGGTCAAAAGGCACGATAGTGACGACTCCATAATCAGTCGATGCTAAAGTATACTTGGACATGGTTTTAAATAATGTTGTGCCTGCGATACAGTCAAAGTTCCCACCGCAGACTGGTGTTATAATTCAACAAGATAATGCCAGCCACCGCAAGTGCTTGACAACAAGTATGCTGAAGTCGCGAAGTATCAACGGAATTGAAGTGAAGAATCAGCCGCCGAATAGTCCAGATTTTAACGTTTTAGACTTAGGATATTTTAACTCTATTCAAAGCCTGCAGAATCAAAAGTGCACTCGAACGATCGAGGATCTTATTGATGCTGTAGAAACCTCGTTTTATGAGTTGCCTGTGGATACGGTGTCAAAAACTTTCATTTCACTTCAAAAGGTGATGGAGAAATGCATCGACATACATGGAAGCAACGAATATAAGCTCCCTCATATGAAGAAGGACGCACTGATCTCAGACTTCACGTCCTTCAACGTTGAGTGTGATGCCTATATATACGAGAGTGCTTTGATCCACTTGAACTATCGACTGGGCGAGGAAGCGTCCATGGAGGCACAAGTGAATTCACAAGAACAAGCTGTTGTGACAAATTAATAAAATGTCATTGTATTTTTGGCCTTGCATATGCGTTTCTGGAGTTACATACAAATATCAAGCTGTTTCGAATTGGTCTCTCATATTTTAATCAAGTCAAAATGAACCTAACAACTAATTTGGACGAGAGTAGAAGTGTACTACTACTGTTGCGTTTACTGTTAATTTCAGCTTTATTTCAAAATATTTCCACCAACAGCGGATATATTTCACCTAACCCCCATTTTAATTCACCCAACCTCCAATATATTTCCGAAGTAAAATATAACCGTTATATTTCACCCAACTTGTGTTATAATTCACCTAACCATAGATTAATTTTACCTTTCGAAAATTAAATTCACCTAACAATCATTATAATTCGAGCTGAGAATCTAGAAAGATCGAAGTGCGCGAAGAGTTTCGCGCGCTTTCACCATTCTTAAATCTGAGCTTGATTGAAGAGGCCATCCCTGCACCATAAACTCCGGTACGTCTCTCTGTATAGAACGATCCACCGCAAACATGCCATGTAGGCACCCCGACGTGTGTCTATACAAGCGAGTTTCACTCTCAGCCAAGAGTCGTTTGGTCGCAGCACACGACGCCGGACAAGCCTGGAATACCGTTGCTCGTGGAAATGGAATCAACGAGTCCACTGCAAAGGGATGGCTCATGTTAGAGTTGTTGACACCAATGCAACGCGGTAAGCTACGGATAATACACAAAACGTTCTGATATGTGGCCGCCACCGATGGTTAAACTCGTAATGAGTTTCGCATGTAATACTTGGAACACATAGCGGACGAGACAATTGCAGGAATTCAGTCCATGTTTATCGTATTGAACTCAACAATGAAATAGAAATTGAGCCGAATCGTTTGCGTGTGCACACGCTCCGTCTGGGCATGTACGACAGTGGGCGTCCCAGGTTTTTTGAATGCGGTGCTGCGTGCATTCGTGTGGAAGCATATGGCACGCCAATAGAAGGAGAGTGCTGGGAGGTCCCACTTGCAGAGTTCCCCAGTGTTGAGGCGTGACGGCTGGATTGTGCGGCGGGCATCGGGTTTGCGTGCTTGCGTGGAGGACCAGTTTCGCTTGCCGTAAATAGCACCAAGCCAGGGGGCGATAGCGCCAGTGACTCGTCTGTCGTGGTTATCCCGAAGTTCCCAGGAGTCTGGAATTATGAGGTGGGCGTAGTTGGTCCGTGGGAGGAGCTGGTGGGCCAGTGTGGCGAGGGAGTCGGCTTCCTCTAGGAGGGCTTGTTTGGCCCGTAGGACCGGGTCCGGCGTGTCTGCTGTGATCTGATGTGAGCGTATCCATTCACCTGTAAACATGCCCTCCAGTGTGAGTAGGTCCATGAGAGAGCGAAGTTCCACTCTGTGGATGTTGCTGTATCGGGGTTGTCCTCCGCGGCGTTTGAGGGACCTGGCCAGAATAATAAGGCCAATGGCCGTGGTGTTGTCACAGATTTGGAGCGCGACATCTCCGGAGTGGTGTAGGCCTGCGAGGAGGCTGTGTATTTCGCAGCGTGTGGGGGTGATGTAATCAGGATGGATGTTTATAGTCCCTACCAGGGTTGTGCCGTCGCGGCCCAAGTAGCTCCATGTGCCATGAGCTGCAGGTGTGTCCTGGTTTGTTACACTGCCATCGCCAACGGAGGATGTGCGGGAGGCGCGGAGGGGGAGAGTGTGGAGTCCGTACGTAGGTGCGCTATGGTGAGGAACGATCCGGCAGTGGGGGATACAGGCAGGGTGATGCCACTGCCCGCAGTCAATACAGGCTGTAGTGTCTGCAAAGCGGTGGCAGGCAGTACAGGCAGGTGTGGCATGGGGGGTGGGTAATTGTGCGAGTGAACGCTGGGCCTGGTCTTCACTGTGTACCGTCGTGGAGGCAATAAGGGAGCGGTGATTACTGCCACGGTGTGTGAGATGCGTGCGCGGATGTGCCCACGTCGTGTCGTTCCAGGGGATGAACTTGTGGCGTTGGGCGCGGCTGGTGCGGATGAGGTCCCCAGTTAGGATTGCACACCCAGTCATGGGCACGCGGAGGTGTCCCCGGGCTTCGCGTGGCATAGGTGAGTACCAGATGTCGGAACCCCTACGGATTTCATGCCAGAAGGTGACGGCTATTTCGGGGCCGGTAGGAGCGTGGCGAGTTTGGAGGCTGGTGCGCCTTCCGATGCGATAGCTGAGTGTGGCAGGTCGGCCGTCCTGTTGGCTAAGGTGGTGCGGGACGACGAGCATGTCATGGAGCGGGATGTGGATGGCGTCGAACCCCCGTGAGGGAGTGAAGAATGTGCGGCCGAGGGGTTGGGCTAGGTAAGGGAGGTGGGATCGGAGCTGTGACGGGGGGGTGGGGAGCGGGTGGTTGGCAGGTGGTGAACCCCATGGGAGGGTCTGTGTGCCGGAGTGTTGGGGTTGGGTCAGTCGGCGTACAATGGGGATGGCATCCCAGATGGGGGCAAAACGTTGGAGCGTTGCGCGGGACCAGCCAAACTTGGTACGGAGGGATGAAAGGCTGAGTAGCATGGTGCCTTTTTCGTTGGTGATGTCACCGACCCACCAGACTTTGACGTTGTGGGAGCGGTTAAGCGAAATGAGGGTGATGCCAAGAGCGGGGGTGAGGTGGGCCCAGATGGGCCGATCGTTGGGACGGTGAGGGCGGCTGGCGGGGGGTTGGTACTGTGTGGCGATGGTAAGCGCAGGTTGGAAGGTAGCCAGATCCCGGAGCAGTGTACCAAGGAAGGTAGTGTCCGAGGCGGGTGGTGGGATGCGAAAGGCCAGTGGGTGGCCCGTGAGGCCGCTCGCTATTTGGTATGCTTCCAGGGATTCCATGAGGATGTCGTGAGCAGGCGAGCCTCTGTCGTTCGCAATCCGTAGGAATTGGTAGAGCCGCTGGCTGTGGCTGAAGCGTTCGCAGTGGACGAGGCCTAGTCCGTCCTTAAGGTCGTAGAACCACGAATTGGGGTGGTCATGTGGTAAACGGAGAACGCGGCGTGCGGTCTTGCGGAATAGTGTGTCGAGGGCAGGGCCGATACTAATGGCATCACTGATCGCTGTGCGGTAGAGGGCGCTGGGAATCCTGACAGCGTTTATGATGTACTGGAGTTCCTTTTTTCCAAGGCTTCGTGGGGCAATGGCATCGGCCTGGGTGTTGAGTTTAAGCCAAACTGTGCGGGTGGTCTCCTCCCATTGGTTGTGGGTGCCTTGGTGAATACTCAGGTGTCGGAAGCCCTCGGTGGGTGCAACTACCTGGATGGGTTGGGGTTTTCTGAGCGCATCATTGAGGGCTATAGCGGGGTGGGCCTGGGGGGAGAGGTAGAGGAGGAAGGATTTGTCGGCACCGAAGACTCCGCCCGATGTGGTTTGTCCTTTGAATTGGTTGGATACGGTGGCACGGTCTTGGATTCCAGCATATGTCGTGGAGACATCGAGAGCGTCGTCGACGAAGAGTAGACTGGAGATGGTGCGTGTTTGGGTGCCGTGAGGGTGTTGACTGTGCGTGATGTATACAGGGTCGGTGCCGCCCTGTTGTTGGCGTATGAGAACATCCATGTAGTAGCCAATATGCATGACTGCTAGGATGGAATCCTGGCCGAGTCCGAATTCACGGATGCCACCGTCGAGCCATCCGAAGGCTGTGCGGATATCAATTTGGCTGGCCCCAAGAAAGTGGGCCATGAGCTGGCGGGGAAGGGAAGGGACACCGAGTTTACGGTAGATGTGCTCCATGACCCAGCCAGGGATGCGATCGAAACATTTTAAGCAGTCCTTGGAGATGAGAAATAGCTCTTCCTGCCAGCGTTCGGCGCGTTCGATGAGTAGGGAGGTGAGCACAACTGCGTCCTGCACAGTGCGGTCACGCTGGAAGCCATGTTGCACCTCTTCGTTGAGTATGCAGGGGGAGATGTAATCCCGTATAACGGTGAAGATGCGGCTGCTGAAGGCACTCTGGACAGTGATGGGACGCCATGGAGGGAGGCCAGGGTCCAGGTTCACCATGCCGTGGGCGGTGGCTGATTCCGCGAGGTAGATCATCTGTTTGCGTCCGAGGATCGGTGGAACCAGGCCTGTACGTAGGATGAGGTTGATGATGGTACGTTCCCTTGTCCGGATGCATGCTGGGACTGCAATCAAGAGTTCCTGTGTGACACCTCCATGACCGGGGGAAACCCGCGTACGTAGACTGCGGTCACATCGGGCTTGCATTGCTGCTGCATCGTAGTGATAGGAGTCCCATGTGGTGCCTTCGGGGGTTTTAAAGGCCGGTGCTACGGCATCAGGGCGATCCATGTCATGGAGGAGCCATTCGCGGACAAAGTGTGGTACGTGCTGGCGGTCCGTTGCTAGTCCGGAGTCGAGATGTCTGGGGCGTGAGGTTTTTTCGGCGGGGGGGATCCAGTTATCGAGCAGATGTCGGAGACCTCCTGCCACCTCTTCTCGGTCGGAGCTGTACCGTGGGGAGCCATCATCTGTACGTACTATGGCACTTTGGATGGAGATGGGCGGTGTAGGGGCACCGAGCGCCGATCGGAGGAATTTCCGTGTTTCTCGGCCTTGAAACCAGGCAGTGCGTTGTTGTACACGCGTTTGGCGGATGCAAGTGGTACGCCAGTCCCGCCGTTTGCGGCATACGTTGGACCAGCGTGCTATGCCCTGCCGGAGCCAACGGTCCCAAGCGTGGGTGGTGTCCTGTGCTGAGGGCATGGTGGTCCACCAGTCTCCAACCGCGATGGCGCCCGGCCGGTGCCAGCATGTGGTCGGGAGTAGCATGGGATTTCTGATCCACTTGGGCCATTCTATCATATGGGCGAGACGACGGTATTCAGTCCCTGTAAGGGTGCAAGCTTCGTGGAGGCGAAGCAGGTGTCGGAGCTGCGCGGTGCACCGGTTTGTGCGTTGTATTGCCACTGCCCTGTTGAGGTCTTGTACTTCCCCTTCTAGCCGTTCAGTGGTGGCTTGCGGTGTCCATGTCGTGGCCGCATGAGGGGGGGGGCGGGAGCAGGGGGGAAGTTGGCCGGCGAGGAGTAGATTAGAGGTGTGTGCGCCAAACGTGAAGATTTCGTCCTTCGTCGTGTTGACGACCCTGATGGGTTTGACCCCAGAGAGGCGAGAGGGCGTGTGGTCGCCAGGGCAGAGGTCAAGCAAGGGTCATAAAGGGGGTGCTCGCATGATCACTGGAGTGTATAGTGTTAAGCCAGATGCCACTGGCCTCCAATTTGTGGGCGGTGCGTGATGTGATGTATATGTCGTCCAGGGCTACGGCAGTGTTGTTGCGAGTGTAGGTATGTCTTTGGAGGCTGGGGTGTCGGTAGCGGAAGGTAGATGATAGTCCAATGCGTACCAGCCAGTGCTGGAAAGCAGTGCCCATGTCAGCGCTGGAGCTAGACCGGGGTGTTGGAGCAGAGCGGTCGAGGGGATTGGTGCCATATGTGTTGAAATCTCCCCCCATGACCACAAAGTGATGTGGTCCTGTGGTGTGTGCGGCAGCCTGGGTGAGCCATTGCCATTCCAGGTTGGTCTCTTCGCGGTAAGCAGTGAGAGTGTATTGGCAGTACGTGCCTATGAGGGTGAGGAGGGAGCCTTTGCCGAGGCGGATACAGATGGAGATGCTGCGTCCCGAGGGGGAGTAGGTTGTGCGTCGGGCATCGATGCGTGAGTGCCAACGTGTGATGTCATAGAGTAGGCTGACTCTGTGGTTACTGATGGCCATGAGGTGTGGAGTGAGGGAGCCACTGAGTGTTGGAGTCCAGAGTTGTGTTGCCTTGTGTGCGGGGAGGTCAGAGTCAGCGATAATGAGGAAGTCCAGGGCACTGGCCTGGAACCAGGTGGCCAGTTCGTCACCCAGTTTACCATACATGTTTTTATTGATGTTGGTCGATGCAATACGTAGGCTAGCTATCCGGCGGTTCGGAGGAGGTGGCGTGCCGGGGTCGCCGATGTAAGCTTCGCCCTTCAGGGATTCACGCCGGAGGACGTTTTCCAGTTGGAGTCTGGGCGTGTTCCAGTCGGGTGGGGGGGGCGAAACGTTGGATCCACCAGGTGAGGCGACGTCGACATTGTCGGAGGGAGTTGGGGTCGGGGGCCTTCGGTGAGGGGGGTTGGAGTGCGTCCGCAATGCGGATATCAAGTTGTTCAGAGTTGTTGGAGTCGTCGGAGGAGTAGAGGTCAGACTGGTGGCCGAATGTGTGTACTGAAATGGGGGAGTGGAGTAGTGGTGATAGTGGCTGTGGCCGGGTTAGTATTGGCGTGGGAAAGTGGGTGGTGGCAGCAGCCAAGGGGAGGTAGCAGCAGAACCAGCGTAGCAGACTCGGGAGCCACCACATTGCAGACCAGGGGCGGCGCCGAGGTGTCGTCGGTCTGACCCGACACCCCGAAGTTAGTTTGACTCCATGGGTTCATCAAAGTCTGCCACCATGTTGGCATTGGGGCTTGGGCTAAGGGCCGATGGTTCGGCGTTGTCGGCAGCAGGAGGGGGTGTCGGGTCGGCTGGCATAGGAGCAGTTGGGGAGGGATTGGCAGGTAGGGGCCCAAGGCCTGCCAGTGCAGTCATTTGGGAGGAAACGGATTGCATCGCTTGCAGGAGGGTGTGTACGCTGGATTCAAGGAAGGGTAGGCGCTCAGCTAGTGCGGCCTGTTGTGCCTCGTGTTGCGCTATAGCTGTGTGTAAGCGGATTTGGGCCTCGGTGCGTGATTTGTTGTCCTCTGCCTGTAGTAGTTCGGCGGCTTCACGGAGGCGTCGTTCTTCGAGTAGGCGCGCATCGAGGGTGGAGAATGCAGTGCTGGAAGCAGAGACAAGGGCTGCTAGAGCTTCTTTGTCAGCCCGTAAGGATTCAACCTCTTGACGTAGTGGGGCCGTGGCTGTTACGATGCGTTGATCCACGTAGGTGGAGAGCTCACGACGTAGGTATAGACTGAGATCGGCGGTGGGTCTAGGTGCCTGGGCCGGGTGACGCTGAAGGGGTAGTTGCCAGGCCTGGGGTATGCGTTCCTCCGGGGCCGAGTGTTGGGGGGCAGATCGGGAGTACTGTCCCACGCCTTGGTGGCTACTTTTGCCGCGTGTGTGCGTGTCGGATCCGCGCGCGGTGTCGTGTGCAGAAGGTTTGTGCTGGGATTTGCTGCGGGTCCGATCGCGAGGGCAGATAGGTGAAACGGTCACAGGGTTCGCCCAGGTGGTCATGTCTACCGCAGTCGCGGCACTGTACATGCGCGGTGTACGGGCGGGGGCGACCAGTTAGGATA